GCACACACACACTGTGGCATGTAACCTCCCTCACACAAACTCAGACATATACACAAAATAAACAAATGCTATTACACAAGCTCTTAAAATGCAACTGGAAATTTTTGATGTCAAAAGTATACTTATAAAAGCTAGAATGGAAAATTAATTTAATTTAATTACTAAAGCCAATCAATTGGTGCTTGGCATCTCTGTGGGGAAGGCTGACAAGGCTATCTTCAGGCCCAGTAGGAAGGCTGCTTTGGTCAATTTACACTGGTGAAACGGAGGGTGCTATGTATTTATGCGTCTTGATAAAGTTATGCTGCATGATGATTCTTAGATTCATGAAGGACAGACTTTTAGATTTGTCATAGGAAACTGCAGCTCCTCCTGAGCTAGTTCCTCATTTGCTATCACACTGTTACTGGGTGAAGTCTTCTCTTCAGTTCTTGTCACCTTGAAGGAAAGAATTCAGTTGAGAAACAGCCTGATCAAGAAACAGCCAGATCAAGCAGAAATTTACTTAGCAAAGCTAAGTGTCAGTACTCCAAAGGGAGAGTGGAACAAGAGACCTCAAAGGGAGAAACTGAAGGGGGAGTTATGAATGGATTGCTTCAAAAACTTCGATGAATATTTATCTCTTCTAAGGTGTTTCCTTCCCATGACTGTAAGTTGGTGGGGGTTTGTTTCAAAACTGTGATGCAAATGACATTATGTGGAAGCCGGCATCTCTTGAAGATGCAGATTCTTTGTTAGTGTACACATGTGACAACTGGGCAGGTTTTCTGGGAGCTTTAGTTTGGAAGATAGCAGGAAGAGCCTAACAGTAGCTTCCAAGATGCTTAATCACAAAATGGCATTTGGGCCCTTAAGAAACATGGCTTCCAAGAGCCAGCTGCAATTTTCCTAGGTACTTCACATCTAACTCTGTGCCTGTCCAGTCTTGATAACTCTAGATTTTGAGACAGCCATATTTCGAAGCCAGGAGTTCTGACTCTAGTTATCCTACCCTTGTCTTTAGCACTATGGGAAAAACAACAACAAAAAAATAGTTCTTAGTGGTTTCCAGCACTGAGTTGTAGGCCCCTTTTGTGTTGACCCTTTCACAGGTGTCCCATACCAGATAGCCCACATATCAGTAGCAGAATTGCAGCTATGAAGTAGCAGAGAAAATAATGTTATGTTTGGGGGTCAGCACAACATGAGGAACTGTGTTAAAGGGTCACAGCATGAGGATGGTTGAGAACCACTGTTACAGAGTGTTCACATAGGAGCAGATGACTTTTAAGTATTCTTACACATTTGTAATGGCTTGAGAATAAAAACAGTTAGCCAGATTTGGTCAACATTATAAAGCTCCTCCCTATAGAAAATCAAATTAACTCTTGAAGACTAAAGGACTTAAGATGGTTGACACCTCGAAGAGAATTCACCACAGAGTCCCCCTGGGACATCAAAAAACTTGGACAGGCTGGGCAGTGGTGAAACATGCCTTTAATCCTAGCACTTGGGAGGCAGAGGCAGGTGGATTTCTGTGAGTTTGAGATCAGCTCGGTCTACAAGAGTAGTTCCAGGTGAGTCAGGTGAAGAATAGAAAAACGGGTGTGTGATAGGTAGGGTTTTAGTTGGGGGGGGGTGGTAGGGGAGGAAGGGAGGGAAAAGAACTGGGATTGTCATGTAAATCAATCTTGTTTCTAATTCAAATAAAAAAATGATAAAAAAGAGTAGTTCCAGGAGAGGTTCCAAAGTGACACAGGGAAACCCTGTCTCAAACGAACCAAACGAAAAAACAAAAACAAAACCACCACCACCATCAACAAAACAAAAAATAAAAACAAAAGAAACCCCAAACAAACAAACAAAAAACCCAAAACAACAACAGCAAATCTTGGACAGTTTTCACAGAGACTTCTTCGTTACATACAGGAGAGGGTATAGTAGCTGCTTCCCTAAAGTAAGATGACTTAAAAGAACAGAGATAGACTCAAGAAGCCTAATTAGTCAATGGCTTTTTGTATCATGGGAGACATGGATGTTATTTTACATCTCTTGGAACATCCCAGTCACCACAGATATAAGTTGGGAGTTAGGTGGATGCGACTATTTATAGGCATGGGTATTTCATTCACTGGTTGTTCCCTCAACTTGGGCTAATCCTTTGCTATTAATAATGTCCCCACATTTATTAACAGATAAGAGGTAGCCAGCCCTGGTTTCATGCTTTATGGATGGAGAGGCCCTTGTGAACTGGAATATCATATTCTCTCTCTCTCTCTCTCTCTCTCTGCATATGTATAGTATACAAATATGTATATATATATATAATATATAGTTCTCAGTAATTGTATATACAATACCATATACAGTTATGGAGAATAAGTCATAATTTTGAGCACTTGAAACAGTTAACTTTCTGCTGGGTCTGTGTGGTGCTTTCCTGTTATCCCCTCAATTGGGAAGCTGAGGCAGGAAGATAGTGCTTGCCAGCCTGTTATGGGTTACATAATGAGACTTTTCTTCAAAAAAAAAAAAAAGAATGAAAACCAAAATCCAACCAACTGAAGAACAACAAAATCCAGTCAACTCCCAATTTTCACTTAAGTATTTTATTGGTTAAGTGCCTTATATATTACCGAATAGTCTTTGCCTCAAACTATAAGCTGTGTACTCATTGGTTTTTTTTTCTCCCCCTTGAAGTCTAGGGCAGGGCACCCTATCCTCTGAGGATTTTCTTGATCTACTCTAATCCTCTTTTCCTACTGATGAATGGATGTAGACATCTGGAGAGTCGGTGCAATAGCCCCATGATGAATGTTTCAGAACCTACACTGTTTTCAGTCATTGCTGTTGAATACACACATTGTGCAGGTATCCTGCACACACACTGGTTGCTAAAGTCTGCTAGAGGCATTGGAGACTGATAGTTTCACTGATGAGTTTCATTTCCTTTTGTGCTTGTCCTCAAATCTGTTGACTCAGCAGAGCTGTCCTGAGGACCCATGGCTTAATTGTTCTTGCAGCCTGTGTTGCTACCAGTCTGCCTCTGCCTTCCAGTGCAGGGAAGGGAGTAGAAGGCCTGAGGACATTGAGTCAGTCCGTGTCCTTCCTTCAATGTGTACCCATGGATGAATGGACAATTTGAGTAACACACATCAGTTAAATATAATCATAGTGTGTGGCTGCAAAGAAAGCAAGTTCTAATTCTGAAAACCACAGCAAGCCAACAGGAAGCCAGTTCTTTGCAAAGGGGCAATAGCTCTCATCAAAAGACATTTTTCTTTGTAGGGCTGTGTGGTTGTTTGGAAAATGTGGGCAGGATTTATTGCTCACATGGAACCAAACTTGTGGGATGTTGACCATGCTGTGCTGAGGCCTGCGGAAGTGCCTCTGTAGGTGTATGACCTTCTGCCTCAGAGTGGTGTTGTTTTGTGGTCCAAAAAAAGAATGAGTTCACTCTTACATCCTCTCCATTCCACAATTCATATATATCATTGACCTGGACAACAGAATTTTGTGGAAAAACAAATCATAAGCCCTTTGCCCCCTTTGCCTGCTTCTGTTCATATAAGTATGGCTTCTCAATTGCATTTTCAAACATGGAAAGCCACAGCCTTCCTCACAAAGGGCTGTAAATAATCATGTACACTTTGACATTGTTCAGCGAATGCACCAGGAATGTTTATGAGAAGGACATTGGTTTGTAAGTTTTCAGGAAATTCTATTTGCTTGGGAAGGCAAAGAGACAGTGCAATGCTTTGGGTCAGATCAAGGAGCTGCTGCATTAGTAGATAGCATCTTTAGAGCCATCCAATGGAAATGTCTCCCCTGGGCTCATATATGAATCACGAGTGTAGAGGACCTTCAGGTCACATGACCCACCAAGGTTTCGAGCAGATACATCAGCATGTGAGCCACAGCCTCTGTTTTCTAATATTCAGCTCAAGGCAACTTTTTTTTTTTTTTTTACCATCTCCCTTCTCTCCTTCTACCAAAAAAACTACCTCTTAAGGTCAAAAATCTACAGGTATAAAGTGCACAACGTCATGACAGTCAGAGTCACCTTAGATGCCTTTAAAACACTGGTATCTGGATTTCATCTAGACTTACTGGCTAGAATGATGGCCTGGGTATCTGTGGTCTCATATACTACTCCTCAAAGATTCTCCTGCATATTATGTTTCAGAACCATCCATTAAGAGTCTAGAAGAAGGCAGGTGGTGTGTGGTCAGAAATGACAACTAACTTTTAACGGCACTGAATTTATCTTGAAGACACAGTCATTCAGGATTCCTCACTGTTCTTAGTGCCAGGCATGTGGTGAGCCAAATGGAGCCAACGATGGCTTAAAGAGTAATTATACTGGTGTTCCTGTTTTTCTAATGCCTGCTTTGGGTTTAAGTATAACTATTAATATTGGTTCTTTGCCCCCCAACTGGCAATATTTATTTGCTGTATATTACTGTGCTGTACTTTGTGGAAGGTAAATGATTACCTTGAAAGCACCCTCCAATGTACAAGCCCACTTCAATCTCTGTTGATACACATTCTCTGGCCTCTATACGTCTCCCAACGAGTCCACAAATAGTTCGGTGAGAGTCTCAATTACCTCTCTGCGCAGGTAATTATTACTTCTGCCATTTAAGTGAAATTTCAGTACATTGCTTATAGCAACAAATTTAGGAGCATATTTCTGATGTACCTGCTACTATTCATGGTGTAGATTTAAAATTCCATTTGTGTCAGGGGATAGTGCTGAACTGTCCTTCAGCATGAATTTGCCTGATATTATATAAAATAATACCACAAGCTCATTTTCTCCTCCAACTTCCAAGAGACTTAAAAGCAAGACAGATAAGTAACCCTTCCAACATCCAATTTACCCTGCACAGTGAGGGTTCTATGTTCCATGGTAGACTAGTAACTGAGCAGTTCTGTGGTTATTGGGCTAGTAAGTGTGATGGCATAGCATTTCGGAAGCCTCATTGTGGACATGATGGATTTTGTGGTATGTCTTGCAGCATGCGCTTTCTGACAAGGCGTGCATAAAAGCCTTTGACCCAAAGACAACCTGCTTGCAGGAATGCCTCATCACCACATTCCAAGATGTCTATTTTGTTTCAGAAAGTTTTGAAGAAGCCAAAGAAAAGATGAGGTAAACTTGCTTCTCTTCCTTCTATAGAAAATAACTTGTAAATTTTCCTGGCTGTTCCGTTTCTCATACCAATGGTGGTTGATTTGTGTATCCTTCTATTTTTGTCTATTTTACAGGGACTTTGCAAAGTCAATTACCCGTCCCTTCTCAGTATACTTCAACCCCTACACACAGAGCATCGAAATTCTGAAAGACACCAGAAGCATTGAAAATGTGGTGCAGGACCTTCGCAGTGATCTGAACACTGTGTGTGATGCCCTGAATAAAATGAACCAATATCTGGGGATTTGATACCTAGAGCCAGTGTTGTCAGCATGAGCTTTTGGGGGCTTATCAACCATTCAGTCATTGTTATCCAACATCAGTAACTTTCTGTGTCAGGGTTGTCTAGTAAGCATGCCAATCTGTATGTCTATGCCTCTGTGTAACTTACCGTGTTAATATACAAAAATACTCTTAAGGAACCCATGCAGATAACCATTCATCATTTGAAAGATTGTGATATAGTTAAAATGTCTCAAATAGATTTGACATTTCCATTTAGTGGACAACTGCAACTTAAACAAACTGTGTCTTTAAAATTTGTAGCGGACATTCCTCTCACCATTCTAGTTGTTAACCTTTTCCTCCTTGGACCTGTGACTTTCCTCTGTGTTCATTAGATAAAATGAAAATAGTCACGAAGTAGTTAGTGTCTATTTTGAATAGTATCGGTGTTATTTGAGACAACTAGAGTTGCTCCTCCAAGCTGCTCATCACAGCCACAAAAGATTTTAGTATTCTACTTGAGGGAGCTGTTCAGAAACATGGTGGTTGACATGATTTTGGAGTGAGTGTTCACCCCATGCAAGAAAAGAAAGCTTCTTATGAACAGGATGTATAGGAGGCACTGACCTTGTAGAAACTGATGTGTGGCAAGTTTCCTGAAGTGTTTTGGAAGGAAACACTTCAAGGTTATTTGGAAAGCTTAAGCAGAAGGGGGAAAGCATCTTGGGACTGTGAATGTATTGTTGGAATAAAATGAGTTATTATCTTGGGTGGCTGACTCATTTCTTTAGACTGAGAGTCCTGAATACCATCGGGATGTAAGTACCATCTCAGATTCCAAATATTTGGAAACTGAGTCACAGGGAAACAAAGGGATTTGTACAGTTTGGCACAGGGAGGTGTGTAGCAGTCATAATTCATTGAGCTTTCATTTTGGACTTATGAGAAGTCCACTGTAGCATGCATTTGTGTTTATATGTTGGTGCAGAATGATTATTAATGTTTATAAAACTAATGCCTATCAATAAATGGAAGCTTGACTACAACAGGACATTCTATTATTTCATTTCCCAGTTCTAAAACAGGTCCTATCTGTGGGGGAGTGGTTTATTTTCTCAAAGTCTGGGTAACTCTGGATAAACAAGAGGGATTTGGCACAAATTTTTGGTGGTCCTTGCTATAAAAGGTTAACAAATGTCTAAGTGAGCAAATGGAAAACCACTGAGTTAATTTTCAGATGGGTTCCCTCACTGAACAGTCCCCCTGACTCTGCATCTTTGGGGAGTGTAGTACAGTGGCTCTGCCTTCGACCTTTGTTGCCTGCAGCCTACTTTTCTCTCTCAGGATGGTTCCACTGCAGATGTTTCACAGTTCTGGCATCTCCAAAATCTTGGGGTCTCCAACTCCATCCAGATTTGACTTTCACGACTTCAAGCAATGGCCTTCCAAGGCCTCCATGAAGGGAGACCCTTGCCATACACATTTCTCGGCCTCAGCGACTCCCTGTAACCTTGGAGGAAGTTTCACAATCCCTTTACTTATCTGTGGTGACTTTAAATCCAGCACCACAGGGATGATGCTGACAAGTCTGTATACCCGCTGGGATGGAGCCTGGCCCCTTGAACCACATTTACAGAAGCTTGTGTTTGTTGTTCTTTCCAGGAGCAGTGAATTCCTTAAGCCATGTTCTTTATCATTTGGAAGCTTAGCTGGGTTGGTTGTTGCATTGAGAGCACCTTTCCATTTATTCCAATGAGGATTGGTTCTCTTAAAGCAAGCTAATCTCTTAACTGTTAACAAGTGTTGGCTGTGGCAGCAAGCTTGCCAGTAAGCTTGCCAGTGTCCTTTTCATCTCCCAACTGTATATTGGTATTTCTTTCTGCCCCAGCTGCTCTTTTTCATTGTGTACCCACATGAAAGGGATTACTAATAAGTGCATAACAGAATCACTATTAGGCTGTCTTGAAATGTCCACTGAAGAAACTAGTCTAATTACTTTCAAATTTAGCCTCAGGCAAATTCTTTGGACAGGGTGGAAGGCAGCCATATTGCTTGCCAGAATATGTACAGGAATGGTCTCTAGGCCAGTTGCTTGTATAGTCCTATCTGAATCCTCTTGAGCTGGGCCTCTACAGTCCACACAGTTACCAGCACTACCATCTTCTGAGCCCTTAATAGGGTGGCTCATTATGCTCCACTTACAACAGTCAATTACTTTTCTAATCACAAGTTCCAAAGCCTTCTACATTCCTCCTAAGAAGAAAATCATGGTTAGACCTATTACAGCAATACCCCACTTCTGGTACCCATTTCTGTATTAGTTACTTTTCTATGCTGTGATAAAACACCATGTCAAGACAGCTTATATTATAAGGTGTTTAATTGAGTTGATCAGCTGAGCGCTCACATCTTAAACTGTAATCAGGAGGCAGAGAGTGCACTAGGAATGGCAGGGGACTTTTGAAGCTTCGGAGCTTGTCTCCATGGCATGTGTCCTCCAACAAGGTCACACATCCCTTCCAAACAGTTCCACTGCAGGCTGGGGACCAAGTATTCAAATATATGGGGACCATTACCATCCAAATCAACACAGTAGGAAACCCACTTGGAATGGAACCTTGAGCAATTTACAAGGATGTCCTTTTAATAGCCCATTAATAACGTACAATTTAAAATCAATTCAGATTCTTATATGGGACTACTGGTCAGATAACTTAGGTATCAATATATAGAAGGGAAGCATAAGAAATAGTTGAAGTACATATCAGTGAAAGGTCAAACTGAGATGAAAATTCAGGGCCTGGGAGTGTATCTTTTAGTTTTTTTTGGCAGAGAACTTGCTTAGCAAGTTTGTGGGCTTAGGTTCCATCTACAGCACCACAAAATAAAAACCCAAACAAACATGCCAAAGACCAACAACAAACAGCTAAGGATAAGAGAAACATTTCAGAAGCTGGAGCACTGGTTTCGTAGCTACAGGAAGCCCATCATTTTGGAAGCATCCTTAGAACAGCTGAGTTCTTGTGAAGACATTTGGTCTACAGAATGTGAAGATTCTGTGGCTTGTTTCCTACTCTGGGTGAGGGTGACAGTGCTTTGGAAAGTTACTGGTGGTGGAGGAATGATGAACAGAGACCCGGGAAACTAAGTCAAGCAGCCCTAGAATGATCAAGAAGCTATATGCTTTAATAGTTTTATAGAACCATTAATACAGCTTCTCATGCCTTATTTTATTAGATCCAAATGGCCCTAGATATTTCTTGATATTATCCCAGAATAATAACTTGGAACAATGAAGTCCAAAGTGTTTAGAGTAAGCTGCTGAATTTTCTTGGAGGAGAAAACTGACTAAGATATCTTAAATGTCTGCCACCCTGCTGTTCCTGTGATTGAGGGTAGCTCCAGACACAAATCCTGGAGAGTGTTGTCCCATTCTTTCCCATTAAAAAACAGACAGACAAACACATAGCCATAAGTAGCCAGTGGACTGTCTGCTTGAAGCTCTGTGAAAGGACAACCTCTCAGTCAAATGTACTTGAGGGAGAATAATATTTAATTGTAAACAAGTCCCCTAGACAAAAATAACATTCGAGGTGTCTTCTGCTTGGCTGATTGTGAAATCTTCAGTTTTCTTACATGTGCAAGAATCAATCCTGTTTCAAAAATAGAAGAGCTGCAAAATAAACAGGCTTTCCCACAGAGCTTACATAGGTACCATGCAAGGAGGTGAAATTAAATGATGCTTTTTAGATTTGTTCTCCATTTAGAATAGCAGTAATCATGGTTTTCACCCTGTGAAACAATGGAATCATGGTTTTCATTTGTTGCAAGCATTTAACATGTAAATGCCATTACAGCTAATGGTGGGAAAAATCCTATAAAATTTAATAGCCATTATAGGAAAAGTGTTGGCTGAAAAAGTCCTCGGGTGGAAATAGTGCAACAAAAATGATCACAGGCAGCCTCTTGTCATGTCTGGTACCTGCTCTGTGTAGACATTTGTCTCAATTATGCCTCATGACTTTAAGCTAAATTAAGTAGATCCAAGGGCAATTATAAATTTAAAGACATTTGCTCACTGTCATTGCATAGTGAGTCATCATTTCATTTTGGCATTTCTTCTGACTTCTATAATCAGCTAATCAGAAATCAACGTATATTTCAGAGCAAAATCAAGTTTCTTATTCGTTACTATTTGCAAAAGATAGGCAAAAAATCTGATTATAGGCTTATTTTTGAACATTTCTGTATGTTATGAGATAGGTAGGGTATCCAGTGTATTCCCGGATAATCTGTTTACTTGAATCAGTAAAAATGCAGTGGGCTATTTATAAATTTGCCTCTTAAAAGTAGGAAACTTTGACTAGCATTTTGTTATTTTTTGACACATTAGTAGAAGGTTTGTGAGGTGGGTTTCTAGCTTAGTCTCATTTGTTTACCATGTAATTTAGAAATTATGCTTTGGAGGGACTCAATATCTGTGCTTGTCTTAGTTGCACAATAGTAAATGGGCCTGATCCTAATAAATGTAAAATATTGAAACATTACCAACATGAAGAGTTTAAAATGAAGAAAAAAGTGTGCTTTAATGCAGAAGCAAATAGAAATACAAAGTTTCATTTTCAAATGGAGTCATGGCTCACATCATCTCATTTTCTTCATTCGAGGAGGAAAACATTAACACAAGATGCAGTTGTCCTCCGATTCATTTGATCTAATTTTCAACTTCTAAAGTGTCGGGCACTGATGCTTGCACTCATGAACCTTGTCTGACTTATAATGAAAAAGAATGCAGCCTAGAGTTTTCGGGTGTGCTTCAACTTGTTTTTTCTTTTTTTCTTTTTTTCTTCTTCAATTTCCAAAAATGGTGTCTTAGTCTGAAAAATGATTCTTATGTAGATTGCCATATTGTAGGAAGAGACAAGAGAATTAACAGTGGACCACTGCTATTCAACATTAGGTTTGTGTATTTCAGAATAACTTTCAAAACATGAACTGGTGATAGCTTTTTAATATTTAGCATCTCAAAACATCTTTTTTCATTAGCTTAGACCATACCAGGATATATTTTGGAATGTGAGGATGGAGTGGGGAATAAGGCAGAGAAGGTTTATACCCACTTCAAATTTTCATTACGTTGGGAAAGACACAGGTAAGAAAACAACCCGTGTGATTTAAAATGACATATTTTATGAAGAAAGTAATTACTGTGATTCAACAAAAAGTAATGGGGTTTCTATATTGTTCTCTGTCTTGTGATGAGAAGTCTCCTTGATGAGGGGTGAGAACTACACCTATATGTCGGTATAAGGGCAAATTATTTAGAGTGTAGTTAGGTATTATGTTGGTTTAGTGAAGTGGTTCTTGTCTCTTCTCCTCCAAGATACATTATTTCACTAGCCCTAAGCCATATTTCCAGTAGCAGTCATACTTTTCCTCCTGGTGAATGGGTATTAAGTCCTAGAAAGCTGGTGGTTACTGCCAATGTATGCAAGCCACTACTGTACCGTTAGGGTTATTGTGACATGCTGGATGGTATTGTGGTTCATAGGTGTCACAGCTGGGTTGGACTGTTGGTCATTTCCCTCCTTTGGAAGCTTGCATAGCTGTTACAGAAAACCATGACCATTCAAAATGCAGAGTTGTGAATCCCAGTCCTAGTGGATAATTCTACTCCTTCATCTAAAGCTTATGGAACATTTCAGAGGAGGTGGGGAGAAGATTGTAAGAGCCAGAGCAGGGAGTTTGCTATGAGACTGTTGCCTAGTA